ACAAACCCACACAAAGACTTGCATAGGAATGTGTATGGCAGAATTCTTCATGGCAGCCCCAAACTGGAAGCAATACATATTTCCCTCAACTGTTCAATAGACAAAATGAAATGTAGCCATATAAAAATTTAATACCATTCAGTAATAAAACAGACAAGTTATTGGTAGACGCTATGTCGTGAAAGAACTTCAAATATCATGCTAAGTGAACAGAGTCAGATGCAAAAGACTATATTTCGTGTGATTCCATTTGCAGCAAAAGCTCGGTAATGGCTAAAATATGAATACAGAAAATAGATTAATGACTAAAATGTTCTAAAACTAGATTGTGGTGATGATTGCACAACTCTATTAATTTACTCAAAATTGAAAGACACATACACACACAACTACAACTATATATATAGCTGCTTATTAAAATTTATTTTCCCTTAGTCCAGGCGCAGTGGCTCACACCTCTAATCTCAACACTTTGGGGAGCTCAAGCAGGAGGATCACTTGAGCCTAGGAGTTTGAGACAAGGCTGGTTGTATTAGTCCATTTCATCCTGCGATAAAGAACTGCTAAAGACTGAGTAATTTATAAAAGAAAGAGGTTTCATTGACTCCACATGTCTGCAGAGGCCTCAGGATACTTGCAATCTTGGCAGAATGTGAAGAGGAAGCAAGGCACCTTCCTCACAAGGCTACAGGAAAGAGAAGTGCTGAGCAAAGGCGGAAGAGCTGCTTATAAAACCATCGGATTTTGTGAGACTCACTCAGTGTCATGAGAACAGCATGGGGGCAATCACCCCATAATTTAATTACCTCCACCTGGTCTCTCCCTTGACACATGGGGATTCTGGGGATTACAATTCAAGATGATATTTGGGTGGGGATACAAAGCCTAACCATATCACTGAGCAACAGAGCAATACCTTGTCTCTACAAAAAATACAAAAATTAGAGGGCTGTGGTGGTGTGTGCCTGTAGTTCCAGCTATTTAGGAAGCTGCGGCAGGAGGATCACTTGGTCTTGGGAGGTCAAGGCTGCAGTGAGCTGTGATGGTGTCACTACACTCTAGCCTGGGAAACAGAATGAGACCCCATCTCAAAAAAACAAACTTCCCAATTCCTCTACCATTACAAAAAGTATTATTTTCATGTGTTATTATGGAGTTTGCACTTGTTGTGTTTGCTTTTTCTTTGTTAATCATGAATATATATTCCAATATCACATGATTTTATGATGCTGCTCAAACCAATAACTTTACTACAATGTAGGTAAAATAAGAAGGGAACAGCAAAAAATCATAAGCATTTCATGGAAGGGAGCACATCCCCATGGTGCTCAGGAAAGCATTAAGGGACCAAGAAAATCAGGAAGATATAGTCCTCACTGTTTTAGATGAATAGTAGATATTCTAGGTATTCTAGATATTTATAAGAAAAAGCACAGAACAAAATATGTTCACGGTGTATTCAGGAAACAGCCATTACTACAATTCCCAATGAGTAGGGCTTGGAAAGAATAGTTGCCATCACTGGACAAAGGAACTGAGACCTTGAACTTCAATGGTGGAAAAGCACCATACACTTTAGGAGAATCCCCTGAATGAATGAAAGGATCTCATTAGGTATCAAAGTTGCCTTATTTATTAAGTGTATTAGTCTGTTTGCACACTGCTAATAAAGACATACCCAAGACTGAGTAATGGAGGTTTCATGGACTTACAGTTCCACATGGCTGAGGAGGCCTCATAATCAGGGCAGAAGGCCAGGAGGAGCAAGTCACATCTTACATGGATGGCACCAGGCAAAGAGTGAGCTTGTGCAGGGAAACCCTGCCTTATAAAACCAGCAGATCTTGTCAGACTAATTCACTGTCATGAGAACAGCATGGAAGAGACCCACCCCCATGATTCAATTACCTCCCACTGGATCCTTCCCATAACATATGGGAATCTTGAGAGCTACAATTCAAGATGAGATTTGGGTGAGGGCACAGCCAAACCATAGTAGTAAGGAATGTACATCCATTTGAAGAGATATTATTATTTCAAATGATCCTGAAGCTCTGTTTTCTAATGAGTACATTTTAAATTCTGTTGTGAGCCCTCATTTTACTTTCATAGAAGTTACTAAATTATTGTTATGGCATGTATTTGGAAACTGGCAGAAAGCAATGTTTTTATATATAGTCATATTCACATGTGATAAAAAATTTATATAGAATTAATTTCAACTTGGTTGTTGATAAAAATAAAGTCACAGAACTCTTCAAAATATATCATTAAATATGGGGATATTAGAAAAAGAGATGCTCAGGAGCCCTATATTCCTGTGTTTTTATGATAATTTTAGAGAAAAGTCTTTGTCTTTCATACTTGCCTTTAAAAAGAGACCAAAAGAAATATAGCCAGTGGGACATCTGAGTATAAAATATCCATCAAGAAGTATACTTTTCTTTCCAAAATTGAATCTCTGTTATTTTATAAGTTTTAATGAAATAAAAATTCCATTATTGCCTTTCCTATGTCTTTGTGAGAACTGCGAAATATCACTAAACAAGACTTTTTTCCAATTTACATGAATGATTTGAGATGTAAAATTTTTAATTGTCTGCTAAATGTCACCAAAAATGTATATTTCCTACTATCTATTCAAGATGTCTTTTTATTCAACACCTGTGATAATTATAATTTTTTAAAACTTCTAATCAGTGGAAAATTTCAGTGTAAATTCCAATGTATTAAAGACTTAAAAAACAAGAAAAGATATTAATGTAATTGCTATTATATTTATTTTTATATTAGAGATAAGTATTGATTATAGATTATTTCTAATATCATATGTATTCTTAAATATATATTATTACCAATGTTGACTCCTTCATTGATATATTTGCAACTCTTTCTAAGCAGAATTCTGTGACTTCTCACAATATGTTTTCTCATGTATAGACAGCTCCAAACAATGTATTTTATAATTTGAATTCACTAAAATTATTACAAGAGCCAATAATAGACCTGTTTTATTAATATATGTTGAAGACACAGAGTTAGGAACATTTTCTAAAAAGCACAGAAGGAGACAGCCAAATGAGCTATATTTTGTAAAAAGTAATTCTCTTAGTCTAGATAAGATGATGAGACTAGCCATTAGTTTGTTTAGTAAATTATTCTACTTTTAGTATAGAGTATGTAGGTGTCAGTTTAACAATAAAGCTATGCTTTGGTCATTTAAAAATTTTTAACTTTATTTTAACTTGTGATTCTTGAGAGGATAGTTTTCTTTATAAAATTTAATCCATATCCAGCTTAATACAAAAAATAAAAAACAAAACAAATACTTATGATCTCAAAATCAGGAAAGAATAATTTTGGGCAGGACTCATTTAGAAGTCTTCCTTCCTGAGCTAACTTTACTATCTCCTGCTGTACTTTCTAGAAAATGTTCCTAACTCTGTATTTCTAATATATATTTATAAAGCAAGTCTATTATCAGGTCTTTAATAATGTTAGTGAATTAAAGAGAAAAATATTGAGTGAGTTGCCTTTAGAGTTTTTATTAATGGCTAAAATATACATTTGTCTGCATTGTCTGCCTAAAAAGTTAGCTACCAAGATCTAGTGAATCTTAAAATCAGTTTGCTTCAATTACATCCAGAAGTAATATTAGTTAACAGTGTCAGTATATCTATGGGAAACACCAGATACATTGAAAACATAAAATGTAAAATAAAAAGCAAACACAAAGTTTATATTTAATTAAAGCAAAATAGATACTCTAATAGTAAATTTTACAACAAAGAATAATCTGAATTTATTCAGTCCCTTTGGAAGATTTTTAGATTTTTTCCAACAGGATCTGCTCACACACAAAAATTAAATGCAGTTTATTAACAGTTAGCATATCATCTCTAAATGAAGCTCATTGCAATCTAAAATGGACCCTGCAAGGAGATAATGAGCAAGCTCCTGCCTGATATCGAAAATTAATCAGGCATAAAAGCATTTAGGATCAGGACCCATTGACAAGCATGTATGCTCACACAGACTTCAATGAAACATGGTATGTGAACATATTTGTCTAATTGTACATTGGATTTTCAGACAAATTCCCACCAAAACACTTAATTATCTGCAGAGGTGATGCTTCCATTTCAGAATCTGTAGGAAGCTTTTTGGTTGCTGTAACCATATATAATGGATTAAATGAAGTTTAATAAGCTTTGTTTCCAGTTTTCCCATTTTAATTGCTATAGCAACCTGAAGCCAAAGTTGGATCACTGGATAGAGTAACTGAGCAATTAAAAGCAACCATCGTTGTCCTCTGATAGAATTATCCTTGGCCCTTAAGGAAAAAAAAAAAAAGTATTTAAAATAAATGAAAATTTGAAAGTGACAAAAATATCTTTTTACATTTAAATTGGAAATTATACATCAGTTAGCATTTATATTTCTCCTTTTAAATTTTATAGTTGAAAATGTTCAAAATGAATATTGTATATCATCTTTAAACATAAGAAATGAGTTATCTCATAACTAATATGAATGAGTGTATCTCATAACTAATAAATTACTTACAGCTGATTTCACCCTGACATATGGAAAAGAGGAAACAAAAACATATACCTGTTGTATGGTTCTTTGCTTTTAAAAATAAAATATCTTGATTTATTTTTGAAGTAGTTATGTAATATTTAAGAGACCTATGAGTTTAATTTCTCAAATAGGTCAAATTGTAGATTATTTCCAATATGTGATTTTCTTCCATCTTCACATAGTTTATTTAAAATTTGTAATGCCTGAAACAATAAAAGGAAAACACAAAATTTGTTTTTTAAGTGTTTTAGTTAAATATAGACTTTGCATACTATTGAAGATAAAATAGTTCCAGGTGTTTCTGAGTGGGATCTTTAGTTATAGATATGTTCATTGCTTTAGAATACAATATCATACTAATAGTTTATGCTGATTTGATCTTTCTTAGTTTAGAAGCTTGCTTTTCTCTTTCAAAGGGAAATCGACAAAGAGTATTGCTTCCTTGCAAATTGGCAGGAAGGTTTCCAGCATAATAAAAGAGTGCAGAAAAAACAACTTAATTCAAGGATAAAACTGGGAATAAGTAGAAGAGAAGACTACACCAGGAAAAGAGACGGAGGTAGAGGCCCAATGGAGTAAGTAATTTTAGAAGAAATTTAATATTGGAAGAAGAGATGTTTTCCAGAATATAGAGAAACATAAGCTAAAATGGATAATTTCCTTAATGCTATGCCATATATAAATGTAAATTTACATACAAATAAATTAAGTTATTTACTGTATAAATGTTATTCTGATAATATTATTTCTTTATATATTTAGCTCCTATATTTTACTTAAAATGAGATCACAATTGTTAAATATGGTTTTTACACTAAGTCTTTGAGACAGAAATATGTGACTTATAAGAGAATGACCTGATTCAAATGCCAAATTAAACCAAGAAGTTCAACTAAATGCATACTCTGGTCATCTATCTTCATGTAATCTCTACAAACCTGTCAATAAAATATCAATGCAAATACAAACAAAAAGAAAACAACAATAAAAACTACTATTTATAGCCAACTTATTGTCAAAATTTGTGAGGTACAAAACTTACAGAGTTGAAAGGAGAATCACATACACATTTTGCTTAAGATAATACAAATACAATAGTTTGACAAGGATGCAGAGATATTTTATTTATTGCTTATAGCTTGGATGATGGCTCATAATCTGTAATAGGTACTGAGAAAACAAAGTAGATACAATAAAACAGCTAAGGGTTGCCACCTCTCTTCCAATTTCCTCCTCCCATAATCAACTTCTCTTTAAATTTATTCAGAAATGACAACTTCATCTCTCAGAAAACCACAGGTCAGATGCAGAAAAGTAATGCTTGGATAAATTATATCACAGGAGATATATAGCTCAGCTACAAAGTCCAGAAATACAACAGACAGCTACAAAGTCCAGAAATAAAACAGACAGAAGCAGAAAGAGCCATGGGGAAACTTGATGCTGAAACTGGGGTTTTTAGCATTGACTGTTACTTCTGCGGGGGTTGGAGTGGATGCCACCTGGATTCGCAGAGTTTCTTTACTAATGCTTGTTAACCCTGAAAATCAGTCTGCAAATATCAATTAGTCATTTAGCTGGGCAAAGACAGTTCAACCTACTGATAGGCAGACAACTAGGCTAAGGGTAAGCCCTAGCCCCTATTTATAGGAGATCACTCAGCCTGGACTTCACAATCAAGCTGAAGTTGAAAACTAAAAAAAATAGAGTCAGAGAAACATGAAGACCCAAAAATATCAAAGTAATTGATATTGAGTCTTTACCCTAAAGACTCAAGTGAAGATTATATCTCTCACTGTATTTAAATATCACACAAGAATACAATTTAGAATTTAAAAACCACCAATTTCTCAAGTAATTCAATAAAATAAAATAACATTAAGTTTGTGAAACAGAGTAAGTTTAACATGAAGGAACAGATTAAAATTAAAATGGAATTGGGTGAGAGGATATATAAATTGTCCATGAAGGGCAATTTGGTAGTGTTTCTCAAAAATACAAACCAAAAAAGAGAGGAAAAACACAGATTCTGAATTCTAAAAATTATTATTTTTAGGAATGTGTCCTATATATATTCACTCCTGTGAAAGATACATACAAAGACTATTTGAAAGAATTGTTTGTGCCATCAAAAAGCTGAACACAAACTAGATCTCAAAAGAAATATTGAATTATGCAAATCCCTTTAATGCAATATCCTGTAACTATTAAAACTGAGGGACAATTAAAGAAGACTGAAAGACATTGAGGGACATATACATATTAAAACAAGAGTTGATTTCTAAGATAGATAATTTTGTAAAACAAATCAAGTTGCCAAAAGTGTATAATAAAGTATATTCCTGTAAATACTTACAAATGCACAATAATGTAAGAGCTAAATTAAATCCACCTGAAAATCAATGAACTCATAGAATTTTGTGAGACTATTGAATTAGTTATGTGAAAGACAGGAATCATTTGCTCTCTCAGAATGAAGAAGAAATTGGCAATGAGATGAAAATTATAAAAGAATATTGACATGGAAAAGTGAGAAAAAAAGAGTAAATCCAAAAGGATTTCGTATTCTTAAGATTCCAACCTAAAAGAATTTCGTATTCTTAAGAAAGAAAAAAATATAGAATCAATAACATAATGAAAGAATAATTTCTTGAGCTAAAGAAATAGGCAACATTGTGAACCTACAGGATCCATACTTGGAAATATAGGAACAAAAAGCAATTTTAGTTTCATAGATAGATAAGAAATACCAACACAGGAGAAAATATGGTTTCAAATTTTACTTATGAAACATTATTTTTGAAATCAATATCAAAATAGAAATATAAAATAATTGCCATGATGTTGAAATTATGTTTTGCCTAAATTATTATTCACATTGGATATTAATTTTGGACATACATGAGTAACAGTAGGATAATCCCAGAAAAAAATTTATATATGCACACATATATGACAAAAAATATCATAGAATGTTTAAAAACAAAAACATCAGTCCAATTAAAAAAAGAGCAAAGCTGGCAATATTGTTTCATACAAAGTAAATTTTATGACAAAAAATTATTGAACTCTTTATATAGAGATACAAAAATTTATGAAGATTATAACTATTAATATTTGTGTACAAAATTTGTATAACGCTATTAGAAAAATAAGGTAAACATAAGGTAAGAAACATGCAATTGCTTTGAGAAATTCTACCTCCATCTTTGCCTTGCTTTGATATGGTAATAAATCAAAGCAAAATACTTGAAAAATGTAATCCATAAGACTAGATTTATAGGTAAGCATAAACATCTCAACAACAGAAAATATCCTTTTCCCTAAGTTTCCTGAAAATTTAGCCTTCCCAAAATGTAATTACTTTCACTCCCATATAGTATGAAACATACTCTGTGATAAAAACCAAATGAGTTAGAAAATAGCAATCAATATTTTAAACAATAACAACAAAAACATTTTAACATTTAGAAATTAAATATTTATGGAGTCAAAGATGAAATTTAAGAATGTTAAAGAAATATAATGTAAGAATGCAAGAAAGGTACTGTTAAAGAAAAGACAAGAGGTCCAAAATGGAGTCACTCTATTCCACCAAAATGAAACCTAAGTTTTTGACTTTTCAAAAAATCAGGCAACAAATGACAGCAAAATTATGTTACTCCAACAACATTTTGCTTTCATCCTTGTTAAAAAATTAACCTCAAAATGATCAATTTGCTGTTTTTTTTTCTTGTTTCTTCTTTTCTCCACATTTTTGTACATGTAAAACTCATTCATTCTGTTTAGTTCATTGAAGCTCCTTTATATTTTGCTTTTATGAATTGCTAATAAAAAGCCAGTTAGATCTTGGAAACTCAATTTGTGGAAATGTTTCTTATAGTGATAATCAAAAATTGTTAAAGAAAGAACAAAATAATATTACAACATGTGAAATTTATGAGAAACCTCCCAAACTAAACAGTATTTTTTGCTTTAGATATTTATTATAAAGAAATAATAAAAATAATTCAGAGTCAAATCTCAAAGCATATTACAAAGAATTGGCATTTTATACACTATGGTGTTATTTGCTTCATTTTTCTGTTTACGTTTTTAATATACTTTATGTATTTTTAATTACTAAACTTTGTTTTTTAGAGCAGTTTTAGGCTCACAGAAAAAGTACATGGAAAATAAAGAGAATTTCCATATATTCCCATACCAACACATACACATCCTCCCCCAGTATTAACATCCCATGCCACAGTAGTACATTTGTTATGATCGATGAACTTACATTGGCACAACAATATGAACCAACTCATAACTTACATGAACGTTTACTCATAGTGTTCTACAAATGTATAATAACAAGTGTCGTCCATTCTAGTTCATTCAGAAGAGTTTTGCTGCCCCCAAATTCCTTTCTGCTCTGCCTGTTTACCCTTCCATTCCACCTAACCCCAGCCAACCATTGATCTTTCACTGCCTCCATTCTTTTGCTTTTTCAGAATGTCATATAGTTAGAATCTTACAGTAGGTAGCCTTTTTAGATGGGCTTCTTTCACTTAATAATATGTGTTTGAAATGTTCTCAACACAGAGAAATGATAAATGTTTGAGATTATGAATATCCTAAATACCCTGATGTGATCATTATATGTTATATGCGTGAATCAAAATATCACAGGTGCCTCAAAAATATATACAATTATTATGTATCAATAAAAATAAATTTAATTTGTTTTTGAGACAGAGTCTTGTACTGTCACCTGGACTGGAGTGCAGTGGCACGATCTCAGCTCACTGCAACATCTGCCTCCCGGGTTCAAGCAATTTTCCTGCCTCAACCTCCAGAGTAGCTGGGATTACAGGCCCTGCCACCACACCAGGCTAATTTTTGTGTTTTTAGTAGAGACAAGGTTTCACCATGTTGGCCAGGCTGGTCTTGAACTCCTGACCTTGTAATCCACCTGCCTTGGCCTCCCAAAGTGCTGGGATTACAGGCATGAGCCACCACGCCCGACCATAAATTTAATTTTTTAAAAAGATCATGTTAACTAAATTCATGTGTGTCTATTTCTCAGTTCTCTATTCTGTTCCATTGATGTATTTGTCTATTTGTTTTGCCAATATCACGTGGCTTGAATATTGTAGCTTTATAGTAATTATTCAAAATAGTGTCAGTCAGTCCTCTGACTGTTCTTTTTCTTCTTCAATATTGAATTGTCTATTTTGCATGCTTTGCCTCTTCATATAAACTATAGATTCATTTTGTTGATTTCCACAATATAACTAGATATAATTGAATGGAATTTGATTGGGATTGCATTAAATCTATAGATCAAGTTGGGAAGAACCAATGTCTTGGCAATTATGCATCTTTCTATCAATAAACACAAAATAGCTCTTCATTTGCATATTTCTTCTTTGATATTGTTACGGGATCCTTGGGGTATTGCTTTTCTGGTCAGAAACCTCTGTGGACAGTGGCTCCTTTGCTAGGGTTTTGCTTGGGTCTGCTGGGCTAGTTCTGCCCACTCGGCCTGCCAGGC